CCTCATTTACATTTCTTTTCCCTTCCAGATTTTTTTCCACAGTCACTTTATTCTTTTGGTGCAAAAAACAAGCTGTTTTCTGATCACCTTCGCAGATTCCCACCTGCCCCCCTCCTGCCTACTCTTTCTAGCACAGGTTAACAAATAACAATTTAATGATATGGTTAATCATTTACAAAGCTCCTCGCTCTGGTACCAGGAGTCCTCTCACACTGCCAGAAAAACTTTAAATATTAGTGGCTCACCAAGATTCAAACACATCCGTTACATGTGTGCTCGCACACCCACACAGAGCTTGCTTACAATGCTTCAGAAAACCAGAAAATTCACATGTTACTCAAAGTGGCACTTGACTTGTGTGACACTGGACTATTGTGGTTTACCATCTAGTACTGAAATTTAGGAGGCTGTTATAAAACTAGTGTTCTGATTAATTAGCTGTTTGAAATAATTTTGTCTTGTAAATTTGTTACTGGATAGTCTCCATCATGTGACTGCAATTTTTCTCTATCTTGTTTATAGGATTTGTAACATATAAAACCATTTCTAACTTCAGCAGCTACAGCTCATAAAAGCAGGCTCTTAAGACAAGCCAGAAGTGCCTGTCTTTAGAAGGGTCAGACTGTTGCAGCAGCTGTAGAAACATCCTTGTAGCAAAGGATAATAAAAATATAAGTGTCTCAACATTCATAATTACAGAACAGTTAACAGAGCTTATTTACACTTGTGAAGATGGCTCAGACTATCGACTTAAGTAGTTAATAAAATGGGGGACATGCTAAAAACAGGGTTCTTAATGGTTATAAATCCCATGATACTGCTTTTGCCTTGTTATCACAGCCAAGCCTTCTCACGTTTTCCAGGGAATTAACTGTTTGCTTCCCATTACAAACAACCCTGAGTCAGTGTATTTGCACAAGAAATCCAATAGCAAAAACAAGAAGAACACGCTTCAAAGTGTTTTAACTACAAACGAATTGAAACAGTGATGCAAGGACTGCTCCTGCTTTGTTTTATGCAAATCAGCATGCAAAGTCTCCAGAGAGGTGCCTCCTTCAGCAACTGGCATTTAATGTGCCTAGAACAATGACAGTATCCTGAGAATTTTCATAGTGGCTGAAAGGATTCCCAGCTGGAAATCAGAAATAGCTCTTGCCCTATAAAAGAAATCAGGAGCTGGTGAAGAAAGCACAGGGTCAGGACTTGGGAGATTTGGTTTCTATTTGTAGCTCTGTGCGTGGACTTGGGCTAGAAACGGAGTTTCACCTAATCTCAGCTCCCTGCCTCTAACACGTAGAGACTTCACCACTTGCAGAACGGCAAGGCTGCCTTTCCTTATTATCTGCCACAGAAAGATATTGTGGTGTTGGAAGCCAAGTTCAAAAAACCACGAAGACACTCTTTGAAAAATCCAGTTCTGTTAAGTCCCCAAATTTATCATTGCCACAGCAGCTTGTGCTGCTACCTCACTGGAGTAGGAGAATACTGAGGAGTTAACACGAGGCCTGCTTCGCAAAGAGAAAGCTGGGTATGGGTAATCTTTGTGCTAATTAAAAAAGCAGATTTCTTACCTAGCCTAATTACAGAAGACTGTGCTCCTTGCACCTTCCCTCTCCCAAACCAACTCAATATGCCTGTAGCAGATCATGCCTTTTAAGACAAACTTTTCACTTTGTGGGTTTTGGGGTTTGGTTGGGGTTTTTTTAAGCATCCTCTTATAAGACCTACGTGCCCAGACTCAGAACTATGCCCACTTATTTAACACATGGAGCCAGATCCCAGTGAGACTACTGCTTTGTACCACCCTTCCAGGGCACATTTTCCCAGGAGGAGCCAAAGAAAAGTCAGTCATGTTTCAGAGATGCCAGGCAGGCCCTAGCTGACCAAGTCCCTCAGTGCGGCTGAGTCCGTAAGCGAGGCTGAAATCCTCTCCTAAAAACTGTGACCTGAATAAAGCACAAAGGAAGATGGGCGGCTTAGAAGAAAAGTTTTCTTTAAAATGGTAGTTTCCTTCAGTCTCTCCCTCCTCCCTCCTGTGGTCTACCTGGCAGTTGACAAAAAGACATTTGCAGTCAGAAATCACAGTTTTCAGTGCTAACTGCACTCCTCAGTCATGAAACAGCACAGACCATCTTGCCTTCCTGATTTCTCCAGCAACCTGCAGACAAGACCAATTGTTTGATGCAATACCGGGTGCTCTTTCACAGTAGGAAAATATTTCTGTCTCTAGACTTAAGAGATTTAAGAGCTCCAAGGAACAGACTGATTAACGTACAGACATTTTGTGCAAGTGTACCAATCACATTTGTATTATAGTAACAGAGACACTATCACCAGAATAATAATGAGAGAAATTATTATAATAATTTGCAGCCCATTCAACATAAGAGAGCTTTTTAAAAAGACAAGTAGACTTGCAACAATACATTTTCATCCAGTACTATTGAAATTACTGGACATGCCAATCAAAATCCTATACTGCTAGTGCTAATATTCTGAGGCATAGCTTTATATAATACTATTACTGGTCTTAGCTGTCACTGGCAGGAGAATCGCTGACAGCTTCTTATAACAGGCATTTATGAAACACATGGATGGTCTTTCAGCTGGTGACCAAAGGAATTACCCTGTCTCTCCCTGCAGGAAAGCTGATTTCACAGAAGACCGATCTTCTGTGAAAACTTCTCCTCACACTATCGTGTGCTATCCTCATCAAGGGAAATGCTTCCAGACAGTTTAAAGCCTTTTAATTGAGCCCTCTGCATGGAAACATGCCCAATACCTGCATTGCAAATGAAAACAAAAGGGTTTATTTACTCCACTTTTCTGGAAAGATCTAGACCATTCTCCACTTCAGAACTCTGGCTGTGACTGGGAGACAAGAGAAGAACCCTTATGTGTCTTCTGTGCATCTGGGAGCCCTGCATGTTCCCTCACTGACTCACCTCCTCCAAATGGTGCCCATATAACCCTGCGGATGGATTTCACCCAATCCTCCATGTCATTCTGCGTGCTCGCCATAAGGAGGTACGTCTCATGATTAGCTGTCATCCGCTCTCGGTCTCCTCCTGCAAGAGAAGATAATTGCACTTAGAAACCCTTTTGTTTTCCTGCCCAGCCAAGCTCCTGCCAGTCTGGCTGCTGGAAGCACCGACAGCGGCTCCACAGCAAGCAGACATGGATACTCTGCAGTGGAGTGTTTATCGTCAGACGTGGCATGAAAAGAAGGTCCTGTAAGTACATTCCCCATCAGACAGTGAGAAGCTGTCATGCTTCCAAAAGGAAATGAGAGGATAAATGTCATCAGTAAACAAAAACAGCCCCATGCTGTTCCAAGAACCACAGGGGCCCACACTAATCTGTAACTTGATACATACACTGGAAATTCTGCAGCCATTACTGTACCATGGAGGAGAGAATAAATGCAGAGACAGATAAGGGTGCTTTGAACAAGTGAGGATGACTCCACTCTTATTTTCAGGAACACAATGTGTCACATTCATAGCAATAACATTTGATACACCCAAGTGCTGCTGTGACTCTCTAAGGAGAAGGCAGCCGACACTTGCAGCTGACACGGTACAATCTGCTGCCTAGGACGGGTCTGAGGATTAGATTAAAAGGGAACACACTGCCTTATTTTCCTTTATTTAAAAGATGGGCACACACTAAGAAGGTCAAAACCAGCACTTGGCTTGCCACAGCTCCAGGTTTTCAGACTTGTAGTCCTGCTTCACTTCCATTCTCATGGGCACTGTGTTGGTGCAAGAACACATGGATATTCAAATCACCTTTCCAGGCAGAAGGGCAAATCCTTCCAGAAGGAGAGTGGCATTTTGAAGCCCTTTCACTGAGCCAAGGGCAGGCACATGCACTTCAAACACAAATGCAGTGCACCTAGAAATCCTGTGAGCCCTGTGTTCATCTCTTTCCAGCTTCTTACATTCCCATTTTTTATCCTAGTCATATCTAAAGTAAACATCTTTGTTCATTACAGCAGGAATACTGTTCCTGGAAGGTCTTCTGAAGAGTGCCCTGCTTAGTGCTGGGCATAGAAAACAGCTATGTTTCTAAGGAGAAATTTCTCAAGGACTGGAAAATCCAATCATGACTTCCTGGCACAACCATTCGGAATGAACCTAGTCCTACAGTCCAGGCTTTACAGAATTAGGGCACACAACTGTAAGAGGGACTTAACTGAAAAGTTAAACTTGCAAGTTTAAACCTGATAAATGCAAAAGCCAGATTTTCCTAGACACAGGGCAGATTGTACAGAAGACTTATTCTTAAGGTTTACATCATTATTCAGAACTTAAATTTAAACTTGGAGGTAAACAGAGACTCTTTTTCCACAGACAAAATACCGCCATTCCATACAGTACCTTCCCCAAAATGACTTCCAAACAAGTAATTACCAATACACTTTAGACTATACCACAATTTAAAAATCTAAAGAACACTGATTTTTTTCTAAGACACAGTAGGGATGAACCTATTTTTAATGTCAACACTAGAGAAATATCAAGATGAGTTAAACTGCTGGTTGGGTTTTTTTTAATTATTTCAGTAACTAGCACAAGCATGGTACCAAACATGGATCTTACTTCTAACTTTATGTTCCATTGTTTTTACCTTTCAAGAATTAGAGGATAAGGGT